TAGCCGCTCCGTAGCGTGGCGCAGGGTCGGAGGAAAGTAGTTCGGCTGCTCATCCACTATTGGTCCAGACTCTATCAATCTTGTCGCGAAACGACGTTATAGGAGGTACGTTATACGAAAGTTGCTACAATTTTTTCGCTGCGTTATAGGAATTGTCGTTATAGGAACGTACGTTATAGGGGGTTCGACTGTAATTAGTTTTGCATAACTAACTTTATTATCAAATAAGTAAGAATATCATTCTTTTTAAATGAAATATGTACACACATTAAATGTATGTATGTATGCACATATAAGGTTTTCATGGCATACAAGTATAGGCTACTGCAAAAATATTGATTACTATTGAAGACAATGAATATGTATTGCTTATTTAATATTGTGACAGTAAGATTTATTTAATACCTGTTGTAATACTTGATCATTATTTATGGTTTTAATCTAGTACTTGTACAAATGATAGGTTTTCTCCTTTTTATTCCAGGCTAATTTCCAGTGTCCTCACTGACATTTGTTAACTTCCTTCTAAATATGTCTTATAGTGTTTGCTACATGTATAGGACCATGAAATAAGTAAAATAATTAGTATTTGTAGGACCATCTGTTGGGAATTTGAAAATTTAATTTTTCAATTTTTAAATATTTTTGCAAAAAAAAGTTTTTCATCTTTTTTGTCAGTTTTTTAATAACTGAATAATTTAGAAGAACCAAACATTAAATTTAATAATTATTTTAATTAATTATTAAATTTAATGTTTGGTTCTTTTAAATTATTACCATTTTTTTTGTGCAATAAATACCTAAAAATTTCACAGAATTTTAAAACAAGTTTTTAAAATGCAACATTTGGAAATAAAAGCATTATAAACAATTAGAATTATTGTGGTTTTAATGTATTTCTAATTGAGTGGTAAGCCTAATAATCTTGGAAAGGTGGGATGGTGTTAAAAGAAAGTCAAAATTTAACTTTATATTGGACATGTTGTCATAAATATTTCAGACTGTAGTAAACAACCAGTAGAAGGAAGAAAAAACATTATTCAGTCAGATTCAAGTGTAAACTTTTCAAATGGAGCAATTATAAAAAGACTAAAACAAATTGATTTTTTTATTTTTTATATTAAAATTGCCTATAATCAAATCCATATCAATAAATTCTTATTTTTTATATATCAAATTAAACAGGAAAAAATGGTCTTTAACAGAAACTAATAATAAAATTTCATAGTTACTGGTTTTCAAATGTGCATGATTTTAAAAAAGGTCATTCTACAGAAACATAACACACACAAACAAAAAAAACGTACATTCCAATTGTGCTAATTTTTACCATAGAATTGCTAAGTGGACTGCAATTTGAAAAAAATGTAAATCTATAAATTTCCACTGCCATCCGTCTCTCTTTCCTTAATTAATCTCAAGAACAAGGTTAGATAGATGAAATCCGAGACCAGACATGGAGACCTTGGGGTAGGAGGCCCCGATTAACTATATAAGAACTTTCGATGCAAAACAGTAGTCATATTGTTTCAGTTCAAAAAATTTCCCCTGAAAGGTGTTAAATAGATGACTGGCCCAACTTTATTGTTTAAGGAAAGTATGATGTACAGGGGAAAGATATTACAGTACTAATTTGAGGTGGAGAGCATATATTTTGAATGAAATAAATTAAAGATATAATAAATTTGCTGCTTGGCATTATGACAATGTCACAATAAATATTTTTTCTTTCATAACATATATTGCTGTTATTTTTATTGGTTAATAAAAACCTTGTATTTTTAAGATAAAGTAAAAAATCTTTGTTCAGCTATCTTGAAACAATAATTTTTATTAAAATATTTTAAATTTTGATATTTTTAGAAAGGAAGCATCGAACTGGAATACTATCAAGGGAAGATGGAGAAAGAAAGGAGGAAGAATCATGGTGTTTAAAAGATGTAGTTTTTGTAGAAGATGTTAAAAATGCACCTGTTGGACGAGTTTTAAAAGTAAGAAAATCAGAATTTTATACATAAAATGTCTTTTTATTCTATATTTTGGATATGGAATATTATGATTAAATATTAACAAACATGTTTAGTAAAATTTTTGTCAGAATTGAATAACTTTTTAAAGCAAGTATTTGGTATACTTTTTAATTATTATAATGAATTCTGTAGATCAGTGTTTTTCAACCTTCTTGAATACACAACCCCTCTACAAGTTAAAAAATTTTGGCGACCTCCAAGGGCCATATTAAAACTACAGTAGAGCGTCGATTATCCGAATCAATTGGGGACTGGGGTTGTTCGGAAGATCAATGTTTCGGATAACCGATTATGTACGAAAAAATATATTAACCTATCCCGTGTTGAAATTTTTCTCCGTTGCGTGTCACTTCACGTTGAATTTTCGTCAATGTTAAGCCTAACGAAGACTATTGTATTGTTAAAAATTATTTTTTTATTTTGTACGAACAAAATAAATATATTGAAAAATATAAAAACAATAAAAAATTATACTTCAGAAGTTAATTTAGTATCAAAAACGTAAAATATTTGAGTAGCGCAAGACATAGCCAAAGATTGCAGCGCCACAGCACTAGCAAAAATTTAAATTTGCCGTCTGGCGGACTGGAATTTTTTCAGATGATTTACTTTCGGATAATCGATGCTCTACTGTATATCAGTGATTTTAAAAACTACGTATTTAATTTTCTTTCTGTTGAGACCTAAATATCGATTGAAAAACTAATTGTACTGTAAAATAAACAGGCACAGTCTTCTCACTGAAATTGTAGTTTTTTTTTATTGCAGTGTAGGACCTACAAACACTTGTCTTTTTCTTTTACCTGCGACTCCTTGTGTAAGGTTTTGCGACCCCCCTGGAGATTACGACCCACAGGTTGAAAAACACTGCTGTAGTTAGATACAGTAATACCTCGACTTATGCTACCCTGACTTATGCGATTTTCAAATCTCGTCGATTCGTCTTTTGTTTTAGCGCCACGCAACTCTTGATTACTCATTTCCCGACACTATTGTTTATCTTACATGTTCGGATGTGTCGCGCGGAATCGACATATAACTACAATTAATTTTGTGTTATTTATTTCTGTGTTTGTTATATCTATGGAAACTTGAGACTCTACTATGTTATCTAAACGAAGTAGAACTGATTCTTCTGCATCAAACAAGAAAAGAAAAATTTTATCTTTGGAATGTAAAGTTAACATTGGGTATGTTCGTAAAGTCAAATGAGTTAAACGAGAATGACGTCATCGTTACTCTTATTTCGTTAGACTTTTCGAACGATTCGTTACTAACGCATTTAACTCGTTTGACTTTATGAACGTACCCCATTATTAAAGAGTTCGATACAAAAATGAAAATTTCTGAATTGCAAAGAAGTTTGATTTACCGGAATCGACAGTGAGAACAATTATAAAAGGTAAAGAAAAAATTCTCGAAGCTGTGAAAAATGCTCGATCTTTAAATTCAAGCATCATTCGTAAACGTCATGGTATTATTGCTGAGANTCGGTCTGGAGTCAGTCGATAACGGACGATTACGCCACTGTTTATGTTCATTTGCGCAGTTTTCAATGAGTCATATCATTCTTAACTTGGATGGAAATGAAATTTGTTATAACGTTGCACTTAGTCTTTCATATTTGTTGTTAGTAATTTAAAAGACATTTTGAAACACATACGGAACGATGATAATTTTTTAAAATATAACACAAAAATGAAAAGGGAACTTGGGTAGGTTTATCGAGAGCCACAAATAATCCTTCAAAGAGCCACAGGTTGGCCACCCCTGCACTAGTCCAACAACAATATATGATAATTAGTTTGGAGTAGCGACAATGCACTCTGTTTTCATACTATAATTTTTAAAAATTATAGTATGAAAATTGATATTTTAAATATTAACCGAATATGATACTTATACACTGACACTCAAAACCAGAAAATACTTCACTTCAACACATTTGTTTGAGTAAAATGTTGGAGTAAGGTATTTACTGATTTTAGGTATCAGTGTATTTTATTTGTAGTTAATAGCAGTGTTGTGTGATGATTGTGAAGATACTTATTTTCAATTGTATTTTAAATCTTAGGTGGATGGAGCATATGCTGCTGTAAGATTTGCTTCAAAAGATTCAGTATCTGGTAGTCAACCGATTCTTTCTGTTGGTGGTGGAAATGAAGATCTCAGTGCAATATTACAAGACTGTCGTTTATTACGTAAAGATGAACTTCAGGTAGTCAAAGGTAGTTGCACACCTCGAATTCCTGATTGTTTTCAAAGAAATCCCCGTAAAGTTGCTATTTCTGATAGTGGACAAATCTTAACCATGGCTGTTGATGGACAAGGTAATACTTCTTGTTGTTCAACTTTATTGATACTAAATTTCTCTATCATTTAAATTTAAAGAAAATATTTATATCAATGGAATTTGCATTATTGGAGTATGTGAAATATTATTTGTAGCAAAATATAATTTTCTATTAATAAATATATATATTAATAGAAAATTATATTTTATAAATTATATGTATTATATATTATAAAAATAGTTTTTAGTTATTGTGCAACAATAGTATTTAATAAATTAGATACACATAAGAGTGCAGAATATGTGTGAATGAGGTTTGGGGAAATTAAAGCAGTCCAAGGAAAATTTTCAGTAGAAAAACTAATAATAATGCAATATCTGCAAAAAATGTTACAATAAAATGGATTAGCATTTTGGCTAACAAGGAGAGGACCAGACGTTTGGGTCCTCAACTTGAACAAAACTTGATGAGCATGTAGCCCTAAACACAAACAGCTTCTTGTCTAATAGGATTTCCATAAAATGGGCATATGAAAATTGAGTGTTTAGCTTATAAGTCTTTGGAAGTTTTAATTCTCTTTTTATCGAAAATATCCAAGTGGATAAGATATCAGGCAATGGAGCTACACAATGTAGTTTCAAGCCTTTGCATTTTTAGTTTTTTTATGTGTAACAAAATTATTCTATTATTTTACAGTATTATTAGCATTATTATTGCTATTATTATTTCTCAAATTTAAAGCTTATAAAACGAGATTAAAAAACATGACATCATTTTCTGTTGAGCAAAAACGAAGCCTCTCTAGATTTAACTCTTGCATGTTAAGTAACATTTTTATTTCTTCATATTATTTTCAGATACGGTGGTATTGTTGTTTGAAGTGTAACAAACATGAGTGCATGAGGAAATTGTCCATAATATTAACTATTAAAAAAATGCTGCGACTATGCTACCCTGTTTTCATACCAGATTTATCTTTTTTGTCCATCCACAACAATGTATGATGCTTATTCGCTTGTGATGACATAGTATGTAACTACAAATAAAAATATCTGGAAATAAAAATTTTAACTTGTATGTCATTAAATAAATCTACACAGGCTTTGTTTTTGCTAAACAGTAAATGACATCATGTTTTTTAAAATCTCTCGTTTTATAAGTTTTAGATGTGAAGAATAATAATAGTAATAATAGTGATACTCACAAGAGTAAAATGATTTAGTTATATATAAAAAAGTTTTTAATTACAAAGGCTTGAACCTACATTTTGTAGCTCCATTACATAGTGTCTTATCCACGTGGTTATTGCTGTTACAAAGAGAATGAAAACGTTCAAAGACTTACAAACTAAACACTCAATGTTCAAAGGCTTTTTTTTTGAAAATGCTTAAAAGATAAGTCCTATTATTTGGAAAATGGGTTGTTTGTGTTTAGTGCTATGTGCTTGCCAAATTTTCTTTGAATAGGAGACCCAAACATCTGACCCTCTCCTTGTAAGATTTATTGACATTAATTGGATAGATTTGCCAAAGTTAAATTTGAATGTTGTTTACTTTCATTTTTATTGGTTCTGTCATTTATTACATCAGTGTATATTTACACAGTTATGCACTTGTAGTAAGGAAGAGTCTGTCTTGGTTATGAAAGAATTGTTTTCATTTTTATAAAAAAAAAAAACTAGAACCAAAACAGACCTTTAAAAAAATTGAAAAAGAAAATTGTTTTTATATTGAAGCTATTTTTGACACTGTTTTTTGGGAGAAATTTTGTGTTGATTTGAATTAAAATGAAATATTCATTTGTTCTTCACACAGAAAACTTGATTATTAATAAACTGTTTTAAGATGTTTTCTGAATTGTCTCAATTAAATATTGAAATAGTATTTCAGGAGATCTTAAACTTTGTATTTTGTTCATTATTTTCTTAATAAGTACAGTGGTGCCTCACACTTCAAATTTAATTACTTCTAAGATGCCATTTGAAATCTGAATTGTTTGAAGTTTGAATCAGTTTTTCCCCCATTAGAAATAATGTAAAGTGAATTAATCCATTCCTAGTCCCTAAACAATACGTGTTTCAATAAACTTAAACAGCAAATGCAAAAAGTTTAAATGCCCTAAATAATAAATTAAATCATGAAAACAATAAATAAAATATGTAAATACTGTGTAATAAAACTAAAATTGCATTTACTGTACCTTAGGAAGGATGATGTCCCCTTTGTTAAAGTTCCTTACAGTTTACTTGTTTTCTCACAAATAATCCTGTCAGAGATGATAGTACTAGTTGCTTCTCATTTATCCACATGAGGGGATGGAAAAACACTTTCTAAATAATGTGATATTCTGGAGGTTAATGTTGTCATGTCTTCAGTTATATTTGCTGCTTTTATTGCTTCCTTGTTATTAAGAATGGTGCACACTTATGTTAAATTTGGCATCTTAAATATGGCATTCAGATTTGACAAACTTGTATCACTTTCATATTTCATAAGTTCCTTTATCACCTCAATTATCAATATTACAATGTACTGTACCTCTTAGAGTTTGTTGTTTCCACACTCATCTTGGATGCCAATGATTAATAGATAGGTGTTATGAAAACACACGAGCATAATTTTATGCTCATTTCATGTTGAGAGCGAGAGATGATTTGGGTGCACAACATCTCAAATCATGCAGAGAGTGCATTTTTTCACTGTGCATGCAGTTTGAATGTTGTAGAAGCATTGTTCAAACTCTGGGTTGAATTGCTTTTGAATTTAGTGTTCAAATTATGGAACATTCGAAGTTAGTTGCTTGAAGTATGAGGCACCACTTTATTGATACAAATGTTTTGTACATATTAATACTTTAATATAAATCTTATGGTTATATGTATCTAAAATTCTATTTTATTTTGAATATATTTTCTATGAGAATAAATTCTTATTTTGAATAATTACAAAATTATCATTAGTTTAACTTACACAAATTTTTATATCTAATTTGCATGTTTGTTGTCAAATTGATATCATCAAGCATTTATTATTAAATAATTTTAAAATTATTGCTTAAATAATAAATTGTGAAGATCATTTAAATATTTTAACATTTTTAAAAATTACATTAATTATAATATCGTCAAAGATTTATTATTGTAATTTTTATACTTGTAGTACATAATGCAAAAAGGTAATACACATCTTGCATTTGTTATACTCAAATAAAAATAATTGATAATATTTATATTTTAACAATGTTAACATGCTAAATCAGTAAAACTTCTTTTACTATACCTCTATAATGAAATAGAAAATATCAATGATTTGTAGAATAAATAGATTATATAACGTCTTTAGACAATACATATTTTATAATACTATACCCTGAACATGCATTAAAACATGAATATGTACAATAAACATACTGTACGTAGTTATACTGTACATAGTAAAAATTTTATAAAACAAGTTAAACTGAACCTGTTTTTGGATGCATTTTTTGTAAAAATTTTTCACTTTAGCAGCATATTTTTGTTTGATAATTCAAATAGTTATGTAATTTATATTTTGTTTTATATGCATTTGATTGAACTTTATTTATTTATTTATATGGCTAATTCATTATGTTTGAATAATTACTGTAATAAAAAAAATTAAATTATATTTGTTTAATTTTTTATTTTAAAAAATTTTACTTTTTACTAAAAAATATATTGCAGGAATTCATGCAGTTGTAAGGACAAATAATCGTCTGAGTTATGTTCTTTACAATTTGAGCACGGGTCGTGCTGAACAGGATAGTACTTTTCCTACAGATACTCAGTCATTCTTGGGTCAAGATTCTCACTTGGTTTCTCTAAATATAAGTGGAGAAGTAAGTAATAAATAATTTAATAACTATTTACTTTATTATTATTATTATGTTGGGTTTATGTTGGGTTGTTATTTATTATTATTATTGTGTTTAGTGGGTTATACTCAGTTCACACCAGTGGCTGTGTACTATGCCGGACCAGAGTCAAGGCATAGCACCTAAAATAAAACTAAAATAAGTGTGTCAGTGTCTGTATTCAGGAATTTCCTAACAATATGGCATGTATTCAATATAGTGGCCTTCTGTAGTGTGATGTATGTATTTCTATTCAATTGTAATGTTCCAAGGCTTTTGTGTAGTGTGTGTGGTGTGACACCTGTACAGGAGAGAACGACAGGTACAATAAGCACCCTTTCCATCCTCCACAGATGCCTTATTTCCTGGGCGAGTTCTGTGTACTTGCTAATTTTTTTAGTGCATGTGTTTTGTACATTGTGAGTGTTTGGAATGTCTATGTCTATAATGTATGTGATTTTATTGTGTTTGTCAATGAGTGTGATGTCTGGTCTGTTGTGG